TTGCTTCCTCTCACGCTCTTACCTCTACTTACTCCTCTAGCCTAACCCCCTATTTACAAGCCCTATCCCGACACTCCTACGTTCTACCTATTCTACCGCTCACCCTTCTATCTCCTCCTTACTTACCTTCTTAAGCCTTTTCCACCCCCTCTATTACTTCTAACCTCACTTCTTCTATACCACGGCTACCCTTCCAACCTTACCTACCTATCTTATCCCCTTTTACCTTCTGTCCTACCTTTCCTCCTCTCCCTCCCCTTCCCCTCCCTCTCCTTCCTCTTCTTCTCTTCTCTCTTCTTCTCCTCTCCCCGTCTACACAGAGATGTGCACAGCTTTCTCTTTTGCCAACTCAAGACACACGAGTAGTATCGACCGATTGTGCACACAGACACATGACGAGAGAATGTGCAACTCACAGACATACGAGAGATGTGCACACAGACAGCAGTTTAGTGATGCGCTCACACAGCACACATTGTTTTTTTTTTTTTACAAGAGAGATCGTGCACACACACAGAGAGAAGAGAGGGTAGCTCACAACAGACACAGAGAGGAGACCGATGTGTTCATTTCTTCTATCTAGTTATCTATTATTTTTATGAGTCAGAGGATGTGGCAACACAGAATCCTCTCTCTATGTAGTGTTGTTACTGTAGTGCCCTTCACAGACACAGAGAGAGAGATGTGCACACAGACACATGTATTCGAGAGAGAATGTGCACACGACATCACGCGAGAGATGTGCACACAGACACTCTTTTTACACAGGAGAGAGATCGGTGACTATCAGATCTATTCTATGTATATATATCTTCTTCCCCCGCTTCCAGAAGAGAGATTGTGGCACACAGACATCACAGAGACGAGATGTTGCACACAGCAACAACTCCTCCATCAGAGAGAGGATTGGTGCTACACATGATCCACACAGCAGCAGAGATGTGCCACAGACAACAGACAGAGAGACGATGTCTGTCCATTTCTACATCATTCCACTTCACTCCCAGAGAGAGATTGTCTGCTCACTACTCGTCCACGAAGCACGAGATGGTCGTACAACTCCAGCATCTATTCTTATGTCATTGTATTTGTTATGATATCGTTCACCACACACATTGCAGTACCTCTCCTCGTCTCTATCAGACAGATGTGCTACAACCAGATCACATTCATCACAGAAGATGTGCACACTCAACGACACTCTAAACATCTGTCTCATCAACGCACGATGCACTACAGTCATGATGCTATATACACCAGACACCATCAGCCTCCTCTATTTTTTTCGTCTTTTTGTCTTTCTTTCAGCAGAGATGTGCACACAGACTCACACACACCCACGTAGTATGTTTATCTGTCTATCTATCTCTTATGTATCTATCTATTCTTTTCTCTTCTTTCTCTTTTCATACTTCTCTATTCTATCTATTACGAAGATGTGCAACACAGTAACACACCACAACTACCTGTAGCATGGTGCACAACCAGACCCACACACCACAGAGAGATGTGCCACAGAGTTATCTTATTCTTCTATCTCTATCATTGTGTATGTATGTTTGTTGTCTATCTTATTCTATGTATCATTCTATCTATCTATTTTCTTTATCCAGAGAGCATGTGCACAACAGACACCACGCTCTGTCACAAGCAAGAAGATGTCGCACTAAATCATGTCATCTTATTTTCTCTCTTTTCTACCCACATGAGAGGATGTGCACACAGACAGCACACACACAGAGATGTGCATGCACAGACACACACACACTCACTAAAAAAAGGAACGTATGTGCTATTCACATGTACATCACATCATTTTCTTTTATTGTATTGTTTTGTCCCCGCACCTTGTATCTATCTATTTCTTGCCCCACATTCCTCTTCTTCTTTCTTAGAGTATGTTCTTGCGTCATCTAGATCACATCACACTAGAGATTGTATTGCTTCGCACTTATGTACTCCATCTAATCCACAACTACAGTTCAGCCAGCCTATGTCGCCAACACAGACACCACGCATGACACAAACAGACTCACACGCAACATTCAACCCCTATACTTTTTTTTTTTTCTCTTCTCTGTCTTCTTTCTATTGTATTTCTGTCTTCTCTTACATCATATCCCGTGGACACAGGCACATTCTGCCCACAAACAGATCACAGGCACACCTACTTCTATATATATGTTTACACATAGGCACATTGTCTTCCTTTTTCTTCCAGCCTTCTTTTTTTTCACACTCATGTCACTCCACCAGGCACCGTTGACACTTCTCTTTGTCATCTCACACTGATCTACCAGGCATTTTCTATCTACTATTCTATATGTATATTTCTCTATCTGTTGCGCTACATCACACAAGAACTATCTCTAATCATGGCACTACATTCCGCCCACAAGAACCCAGGCAACACACACAAGACACAGGCACATCACACAAGACCAGGCACACAACAGCAGACACAGGCACACACACAAGACACGAGGCACAACACACAAGACACAGGCACACAATCACAAGACCTACAGGCACAAACATTTCTATCTTGTATCTATTTTTTAGGACACAGGCACACAACAAGACACAGGCACATCAACAAGACACAGGCACCAGCAACAAGACACGGCACACACTTCTATTTTACAAGACCATCAGGCACATAGACACACACGAACACAGGCCCACACACACGTGTGTCATAGTACATATGTCGAGCTATCACTATCTATATATCTTATCTATTGACACTAGATCACACAAGACACAGGTTATATCTATTCTATATCACATAGACACAGACAATCACACCAACGACACAGGCAACATTCTATTATCTATTCTATTAGACACAGGCAACACACACGAGTGCACAAGAACACAGGCACACCACACAGACACCGGCACACACACAAAAGGGACTACAGGCACTATCTATCATCTATCATATGTACACAGGACCACACAAGACACAGGCAACACAAAATTATTTGATTTTGTTCTATTCAAGACACAGGCACCAATTGCACACACAAAAAGTACACAGGCACACACACACAAGACACAGGCACACACACACAAGACACAGGCACACACACACAAGACACAGGCGACAACAACACAAGACACACATTCTATAAGCAAACCACATTTCACACAAGACACAGGCCACCACATTATCAAGAAAATCAAAAGCACCACACACAACAAGACACAGGCTATCTCTATCTATCGGTACCAAGACAATATCTATGTGTCTCTATCTATATGTGGTTTCACACAAGAACAGCACCACACGGCTTCTATGGTATGTATCTATTATCTATTTGCACCACATTACACACAAGAACACAGGCACCCAAACGGTCACAAGACAGACAGGAACACACACACAAGACACAGGCACTACCACACGAGACAACAGCGCACCATCTATCTATGTCTCTATATACATTTATATCTAGTGTTCTATCTCTACTTCACAAAGACAAGCAGGCACCGTAACATTTTCTACTAAGACCACAGGCACCACAGCACACAAGACAATCCAGGCAGGCCACACACACAAGACACAAGGCGACCACACACAAAGACCAGGCCCAACACACAAGACCACAGGCACCACACACACACAAGAACACAGGCACCACACACAAAAGACACAGACCACACACACAAGAACAGGCACACACACACAAGAATACACAATATTCACAGCACACAGACACAGGCAACCATTACACACAGACACAACAACACACCACACACACAAGACACAGCAGGCACCACCACACCACAAGACACAGCACCACACCATCACACACAAGACACAGGCACCACACACACAAGACACAGGCACCACACACACAAGACACAGGCACCACACACACAAGACACAGGCACCACAAGCACACCAAGACACAGCAACACAACACACAAGACACAGGCACCACACACACAAGACACAGGCACCACACCACAGACACAGGCACCACAACACACCAAGACACAGGCACCCACACAACACAAGACAAGACACACAGGCACCACACACACAAGACACACAACACACACAAGACACACACACACACACACCACACACACAAGACACACACACCACACACACAAGACACACACACCACACACACAAGACACACACACACACACAAGACAAACCACCACACACACAAGACACCACACCACACAACAGACCACACACAACAAGACACACACACCATAAAGACAGCACCACAACACACACACAACACACACAAGACAACACACCACACCACACACACACACACACCACCACACAAGAGCACACCCACACACACAAGACACACACACCACACACACAGAGAAGAACACACACTCACCACACACACAAGACACAGACCACACACCCACACAACACACAGACACACCACAACACACACACAACACACACAACACACACACACACACACACCCACCACAACACACCAACCACCCACACACACAGACACACACAGACACAGACACCACACACAGACACACACACAGACAACACGAACAACACACACAACAGACACCACACACACACACAGACCACACAACACACACACACAAACACACAGACACAGTCCAGGCACACACACAGACACGAACACCACCAGACACACACACACAGACACACACACACAAGACCACACAGACCACACACAGACAACCAACACCACACACACACACACACACACACAACACACACACACACACACACACACACACAACACACACACACACATTGCAAGTGCATTGTACACACATGCCTATGTACACATGTATGTGCAGATGTCTTCTCTTCACGCATACATGCACATCCACATGCAGTGACACATATACCCCAGTGTCTACATACTGACAAATGCACAGGCACTCATAATGCCAAATATATACACGTACACAAAACACAAGACAATGCAATACAAGCACATATACACACGGGAGCTTGCATATACAAGCACGCAAGTGCACACCCAACAAGCACACTAATGTACACGTGCACAAATGTGCTTCCTTGTATGTACATCTTGCGTATGTACATTGAACAGTATGCACAAGTCATACCTACACCTGCGCGCGCACACAGACTTAAACACAGACATACATGACACATTCTGACACATGCATGTGCACCACTTTTCCAATCCTCTTAATTTAGATGCTTTAAAGAACACACCCCAGAGTAGAAAATGTTGAATGAGCGACAGCAGCCGACTCTCTTGATTTCCGCTTTTGCTGTCTACTTCCTCTATCGCCTGACAGTCAACCCCCAGTATCATCTGATAATTGTAATGATCTCTCATGAATCACACACTTCACCCTGGCAAATATAAGCACAATATGACCAGGATAGGGGCCCCTCCTTCATCAATCACAACCATCCAACTACTAAGCAATGTAATTTTGACGCAGTATCAGATCTTGTTCTTCGATTGAAGAGTAACTAATGTAATGGTGTCACTTATTATTATTATTATTATTATTAGTAGTAGTAGTAGTAGTAGTAGTATTTTTAAAGGCATTATCACCGTTGTTTTTAATGCCTTTTTCCTTCTTTCTGTAGTGTTGTTACCGCTGTTTAATCATATATTTTTTTCTTTTTTTTACTTTTAGGTCAATGCTCGTTGCGAATGGGACGAGCTCCTTGAAGATTTCCGCCTCCCAGCTGCTTGTGTGAATTCTGCCACAGCGCTGAAACATATTTATATTAGGTAAGTCTCCCCCCCCCCCCTTCCATTTCGGCCGAGACTGGCGTCGCAAGGTGGCGGTGAGTAAATGCATTTGGCTGTTCATCTGTAGACGGTGAAGAGAACAAGCTAGATAATCATATTTGGCTGAAAGTAAAAGTGACCTCGCAAAAATGCCTCGGCTTGCCCCCAAGAAAGGAGAGGAGAGAGAACGGGGCTTTGGAGGACGTAGGATAAACGGATGGGAGTGCTCGTAAGGAAGGGGGAGCAGAGACGGGGATATCGAGGGAATGGGAGAGTGATCGAGAATAAGATAATTACCTTGTGGAAGCAGAAACGAGGCATACAGACTAATTGCAAAGAGAGAGACGCGGGCACATATATATGGACACATTTAACACACTTAAGGACACATGCACGCATTCATATACACATGCATACACACACAGAAGAGAGAGACACACACACAGAAGAGAGAGAGACACACACACACACAAGAAGAGCAGAGACAAGAAGAGAGAGATAGACACACAGCAGAGAGAGAGACAACACACATCAGAAGAGAGAGAGACGCACACAACAGACAGAAGAGAGAGAGACGCACACACACAGAAGAGAAGAGAGAGAGACGCACATCACACAGTAAGAGACATGATGAGAGATCGTTTTTCTATCTATCTATCTATCTGTATATGTATGTATGTATGTATGTAGTATCTATCTATCATATCTATTCACACTAGAAGAGAGAGAGAGAGAAGAACACACACACGAAGAGAGAGAGAGAGACACACACACACACAGCACACAGAGAGAGAGAGAGACAAACCACACACACGAGAAGAGAGATGTATGTGTATTGTAGTATCTATCTTTCACACGAGAGAGAGATGAGAGTAGTATCTATCTTATCTATATATTATTATATGTGTATCTTCATCTGAGATGAAGAGAGAGATCAAAAATTTTTCTATTAGCACATCTTTTTTCCAACACGAGAGAGACGGCACACAACACTTATTCACACAACATTCAGCACATGGTCTAACACAGGTTCACACACACACCAGAACACGACACACACACACAGGTTAGCCACATTTATATCTACTATCTATCTATTATCTATCATTTATCTATCTATCACACTACACACAGAAGAGAGAGCAGAGAACACAGCACATCACTTCTATCATGTATATGTATGTAGTATGTAGTATTCTGTCAATAAATTCTATCATCTCTATGTATATGTGTAATATGTATGTAGAAAAACGACATTGTATAGTTATGTAATTGTATGTATCTATGTATGAGAAGAGTATGTATGTAGAGACATCTTATTTCTATATTGTATGATGTATAGTATGTATGTATGTATGTATCACTACACAGAGAGAAGAGAGAGAGACACACTAGTATGTATGTATGTAGAGAGAGACACACAGAGAAGAAGAGAGAGAGACCACAAGCATTGAGTATGATATGTAGAGAGATGATCTATCTATATGTATGTATGTATATAGAGAGAGACACATCACAGAGAGAAGAAGAGAGAGACATCACACAGAGATGTAATGTATGTAGAGAATGTTCATCATTGTTTTTCACAGAGGGATATAGATGTAGATATCATCTATCATTCAGAGAGAAGAGAGAGAGACACACACTAGTAGAGAAGAGAGAGAGACACCTAACAGAGAGGATTGAGAGAGATAGTATGTGTACATCATCATGTAGAGAATGTATGTATGTATGATGTATCTATCTAATGTCTATCATCATGGGAATGAGAGAGAGAGACAAACAACAACAGAGAGAAAGAGAGAGACACACATATGATGGAAGAGAGAGGACACAAAGAGAGAAGAGAGAGAGACCACCACACAGAGAGAAGAAGAGAGAGACACACACGAGAGAAGAGAGAGAGATCTATCTATCTATCTGTAGTGTAATGTAGTATAGATGATGTATCTATCATCATCGTATGTATGTATATGTTAGAGAGAGACAACGACACACAGAGAGAAGAGAGAGAGACAACACACTATGTATGTAGATATGTATGTAGTATGTGTATATCTATCATCTATCTGTATGATGTGTATAGTATGTAGTATTGTATGTATCTACTATCTTGTATGTAAGGTCTATGTATAGTAGAGAGAGGACACACACAGAGAAGAGAGGAGAGACCACACACATAGGAGAGAAGAGAGAGAGAACCATCCACTATCTATGTTAGAGAGAAAGAAGAGAGAGACAACACACATGAGAGAGAAGAGAGAGAAGACACACACTATGTATGTATGTATATGTAGTAGTAGTATGTATCATCTATCATCTATATGATGTATGTAATGAGTATGAATGATGATTCTATTTATATACTATCTATGTATGTGTATATGTATGTATGTATGTATGATCTATTATCTATCTACTATGGTAAGTATATATGTAGATGTAGTATGTAGATCATCTATCTATCACAGAGAGGATATGTGAGTATAGTAGTATCATCTACCACAGAGAGAAGAGAGAGAAGACACACACCCCAGAGAGAGAAGAGAGGTATGATGAGTATCATATCATCTATGTATGAGAGAAGAGAAGAGAGAGACACACACCCAGAAAATATGTATGTATGTATGATGTACATCTATCTATCTATCTATTTATCAGTATATGTATGAGTAGTCGTATCTATCTAATCACACAGAGAAGAGAGAGAGACTCACACACACAGAGAAGAGAGAGAGAACACAACATACATGTATCAGAGGAGAGAGAGTAGAGACACACATACACAGAGAAAAGAGAGTATGTATCGAAAAATCACTACAGCGAGAGAAGAGAGAGGCAGAGGACAACCACACAACAGAGAAGAGAGATGTAGAGATCACATAACACTAGAGTAGTATGTATATAGTATGTATGTATGAATGATGTCATATCTATCCTCTATGTATGTATGTATATGTATGTAGTAGTATGTCTATAGTCTATCTTATATGTATGATGATTATGTTAGAGAGAGAGAGACACTTCAGAGAGCAGAGAGAGAGAGCAAGTGTGACAACAACAGAAAAGAGAAGAGACACACACATCTATCTATCTATAGATTGTAGTATGATGTCGTCATATCTATTATATCTATCTATCTATGTATGATATGTAGGTAGAGAGACACACACATACAGAGAAGAGAGAGTAGAGCACAGGAGCACATACACAGAGAATGTATGATGTATGTTATGTATGAGTTATCTTTAATATCTATCTATATATCATGTAGTATATGTATATGTATGTATGTAGTATCATCATCATATCATCTATGTAGAAGAGAAGAGCACACACATACACAAGAGAAGAGCAGAGAGAGAGACACACACACAAGAGAAGAGAGAGAGGAACACACACAGAGAGAAGGAGAGAAAGAGAGAGACACACACACAGATGAGAAGAGAGAGAGACACACACAGAGAGAGAAGAGAGAGGGAGAGACACCACATGTATTTCTATGTATATCATCTATCATGTATATGTATATCTATCTAGTATATGTATCTCTATCTATCTATGATAGTACTACTTTCACTTTGAGAAGACCACACAGCGAAGACACACACAGAAGACACACGCAGAAGACACACGCAGAAGACACACGCAGAGACATAATACAATCTATCATCTATCTATATGACATCTTCTATCATCTATATCAATGTATCTATCTATCATCTATATTCACACAAGACATACACACACCAACACAAGACCACAGCACACAGTACCACAAGACACACACGCATAATGATATCCACAAGACACAACACACAACACAAGACACACATGATCTGTACACAGCACATAGAACACACAGCACACTTATTTTAGTATTAGCTATCTTATTCTACACACAAGACAGCGACACAACACACAAGACACACCCACACACACAAACACACAACACAAACAAGACACACAACAGCACACAAGACACACCACACTCCAAGACACACACAACATCAAGACACACAATTCATCTATTCTACAAGACACACAACACACACAAGTACACACACAACACAAGACAACCCACCCATCTATAGTATACATATCATCTATCTCCAAGACACATCACACACACAAGACACACACACACACACAAGACACACACCCCACAAGACACACAAGATTTCACACACTACACAAGACACACACACACCAACAAGACACACACACACACACCTAGTTTTACACACACGACAGTAACACAAGACACAGCACACACAACAAAGACACACAACACACACACACAGACACATCGCCCACACACACAAGACGACACAGCACACACAAGACACACACAACAACGAAGTAAGTCCACAAGACATTATTATCTCTATCTATCTCTATCTATAGTACACAACACACAGATGTGTTAGAGTTATGCACACAAGACACACACCAGTATTATACACACACAATTGTATATATCATTCCACACACAAGACACATATTTATTTTGTATTTTCAACGCACACACACACAAGACACACACACGGATCTGGTCATTTTCTATTAGACACACACAGCAACCAGACACACACACCATACATTTCAACACACATACACGCAACTTGTATTGTATATTCTGTTGTTTGTTTTGTGACAACAGACACACACACATTATATCTCTATCTATATTCTATCTATCATTATTTTTATTATTTCAAGAACACACACACAGCATCACAAGACACGACACCCACACACAAGACACAACACACACACAACAAGACACACACTACACACACACCAAGACAGCAACTTGTCATTTATTTGCAACCACACACAAGACACACAAACACACACACACAAGACACACACTACCACACATTATTTGTGTTGCATTTACACGTCAAGCCCACACACACACACACAAGACAACACACACACTACTTATCTATGATATATATGTTATCTATATGTATCACATATTCTATTCTATCTAT